TCCGTTATTTCCCCGAACCCCAAGGGGGGATTGTAGCAATTTGGTCCACGGGGGAATTGGAGCAATCTCGGCCCTAAAAGAGCTTCCCGTGGTCGATGCTGCCCGGTGGCCGCCTGGCTCATGCCTTTGCAGTGCCCCTGTGCGGCCCAGGGTCACCTAAGGAGGCATATCGGCACAAACCTTGTCCTTAGGTGACCCCCTTCTTGGGACGGCCCCTGGGCCCCCCCCCCTGGGACGTCTGTTCCGCGGCAGTGGTCGGGCTCTCGGCAGCCGTAGGGGCTCGGAAGTGCAAGCCCAAGGCCCGTACGTGCAGCCTGCAGGGGCCTGGGCCCCAGCTGGGTTGCCACTCCGACGCTGGGGCTGCAGTTTCCAGCGTCTGCCTGACCTGCCAGGGTCCCTGCACGCGCACGCGAAGGGACCTCGGAATTCAGCGGCGGGGGAAGCGCGCGGCCCACCTTGGGATCCGTTTGCTTCCCAGAGGGGAACCGCTAGGCAGTGCACGCCAGGAGGCAATCTGCGGACCACTGCTGCGGCAAGTTCGCTACCCCGATTTGGGATGCCACCCTCTAGGAGCCCGATTCGATAGGATCACTTGGGTCGTGGTCGCAAACATAGATCAAGGGGGCGTGGATTAACGAAGGGTCTCGCTTCCATGGGACATCGCGGATTTCTCCCGCCGAACGAGGCGGCACAGGCCGCATTTGAGGGAGGGCATCTCCCCCGATCCATGGATTTGGCGACCGCGCGCCAAATCCATGGATCGCTAATCCATGTTTGCGCGCCCCCGATTGGGGACATGGGGTGAGGAGGGGGTGGCGGCCAGCGAAATTGATAAAGAGGTGGAGCATCGACTGGTGTTCCTCACTAAGCACCTCGGTATCGCGGTTATCCGTCATCCCCCACTTTAGGCTGCGCGGCGGACGCCCGCATCGGCCAAACCCCGCTCCACTACGGGCTGAGGTGCAGGATCCGACCCGCAGCCTAAATGTACATCCGAGATTATCTTCCTCCTCCTCCTCCTACTCCTCCTCTTCTCCTCCTCCTACCCCTCCTGCTCCTTCTCCCCCCCGCGCGGGCCCTGCCCTCCTCCCTACCTGCAGATGGGTCGGAGGATCGCCCCGCATCGCTGATGCGTCAGCAACGCCGAAGTTCTCCCCCCAGAGTCGCCGGTGCATATGGCAGGTTCGCGTCCTCGTGTATAGCCAGGACCCCAGGTAAGGGGACCCAGTTAGTAGTAGGGCCCCGGAGCCCCCAAGTTGGCCAGAATCGCTAAACCAGGTCTGCCGTAGCTGGTGTTTTTTCGGGTGACGGCAGTTCCGGTTAGTGGAGCGGGGCGGGGGGGGGCGTCCCCCAGTACACATCACTAAACCAGGTTCCGTTTAACCCAGTTCTGCCAACGCCCGAGTGTCGACCGGCGGCGACCCCAGCGCGCGCGTTTAAGGTTGAACGCCGCCCGTGGCCCAGAATCGGCCCGTCGTTGAACGATCTGGCGTTCACGGAACGGCCGAGCGTTCAAGTTTGAGTGATCCCCGCGGTGTCAGGAACCAACGCCGGGGTTGACACGACGCGAACCTGCCGTAGGGCCCCATATGCTCCAGCTCCATTTGGGGCGCTCCAGGAACGGCCTAGCCTTCGAGGGCTCGAGAAGTTGGCATCTCCTCTGCTGCGGAAGGAGGCGGAAGACGGCGGAAGTACCGTAAAACGAGGCCACCTGCGCCAGCGGACGGGAGCGGAATGCCAGCAGAAGCCAACGGAGGCAAAAGGTGGCCATCTTAGAAATGTTGACCTTTTGGGGTTCAGGCTTTCCGGAACCCACCATTTGGGCGACTTCCGCTTCCACCGCCCATCCCGTGCGGTGGGGACGTGGGTTCAGGAACGTGCGCAGGAGGCTCCAGACCGTGGAGGACTTCATATCTGATGAGGGCGGTGGTGATGTCCATGGCCGAGCCCGAAGTGGGGTCTCTACCAGACCGTTCATCTCTTGGACTCCTCAGCCAAGGGTTCCTTATCCAGTGCCATCGCCGTAGCCGCGCTTCGAGGTTCGTGACCTGGGCCGTGGAGCTTCCCTCTTCTCGGGCGGCCGCGGGATGGCGCGAGGGTCGGTCGCGGCGCCCGCGGGGCGAGGCGCGGAGGCGGTGGCCCAGCCCCAGCTCAGGGGTGGACGGGCACCAGGACGCTGGCGGTGCGAATGACGGCCAGCCTGGGCAGAGGGCCGGAACAGCATTCTCGAATTGTACCTTCAGAACTCGCTAAATGTATTTTTCGGGTTTTAGACGACGTTGGTTCCTCCTAGTGTTTGGGTGAAAATTCTGCGCCTACAGCCTTGAGAATTGCACCATTCAACGCCTCATGATCGACTACAGAGAATAAAAATCTGGATTCCCAAAACGATTTTCAAATCTCTCACAATCTCGGAAAAACCGACGCCAGGTGTGGCCCGGTGTGTGTTCCAGCGCTCGGCCGTTCGACGGCCAGGCACGCTGGGCTTCCGCACTCGTATCCGGCGAGCGGCCTCCAGGTGTCCCACGCGGGCGGCGCCAAAAACAGGGCCGTCTGCGCCGGCATGGGCGCGTGAGCTGCCCGCGCACGGTCGCGCGCAAGCGCCCTCGTCTCCACGGGCCTGCCGCGCTGGCGGCCCGCGTAAGCGGCAGCGTGAGGTGAGGTCGCCGTGCCATCTCGCGCAAGACCTTCTTATCTTCGTCGCTCACATGTGAATCCAGCTTGGAATCCACTGCCCCTCTGTTATGAGGCCGTTGTATAGGAGAGGGAACAGAGGACAGAGTGTTTACACAGTTTTAAGGAATTAGTGAATTCAGCATGGGTCGGGCTTGAAGTGCCTCGAAGAAAGCGCGCGCACCCGAATCGCAGACATATGGCTATATGCGGACCCGGGACACTTTGCTTCCCGTCGTCGTCCTCGCCCTTGCTCCGTTCCCCTTTCTTTCTTCCCTCCCCTGGATGGTGTCGAAAGCGTCCGCGGCTCGGGCGGGGGAGCGCCCCTTCCCACCTCCCTTATTATTCCTCGTTCCTCTTTGCCTCCTTGCTCCACCGTCCGTCGTCCTACCTCGTCCACCCTCCTTGTTCGAAAAGTGAAGTCCCTGGTGCCGCGTGCCCGCGTCGGCGGTAAATGCTTTTCCGATATCCTCGCACAGCGGCGCAACCAAACAGAGGGGATTGCCAATGCGAGAGTTCGGGGCGCACCCAAAATGCGGGCGGCACGGCCGCCGAGCACAGTCGCATCGCTAACATGTAAATTATAGGTGCCTGCGGCAAGGTCCGCCCCCCTGCCAAAGCAGTGGTCTATATGGCGACGCGTGGAGCTTTGACTGTTAAGAGGTCCATGACATGTGACATCTCTCGTGTTTTCGGACTGCCACGCGGCATTCTTTGGGGTCCTTCGAGGCCTTTTGGGGCGTCTTCGGGCCGTTGGGGGCCGCTTTGGCGCCGCGTTACACCGCGGCCGCCCTGGGCCAGGGAAGCGTGCATTTGCGGTTCTCTCCGGGGCGCCCTGGGCCGGGGAAGTGTGTATTTGCAGTCCCCCCCAGCTGGGCATGTCAACCTCGGTTCTGGGCTGGCAAAGTCGGGGCGCCCTCAAGGTGGTGAGCGTTTACCTTTTCGAAATAATCAGATCAAGGTGTGATCTGTGTACACAGTTTGTGTCTTCAACTGTGTATTTTCGTGTGTGGGCCGACTGTTTACACAGATCGTGGTGTGATCTGTGTAGACAGATTTCGTTCCCATCTGTGTATTTGGAGTGTGTCCCTCGCGGGTGGTTTTGAATGGGCGGGAACTTTCGCGTTTCCCTTCCGGCTGGTCCAGGGGGGCGTCGTGCGCGGTCGAAATGCACAGTTCGTGTCTCCAACTGTGCATTTGCTGCGCGCCGTTCGCTGGAGTGGTCTCTGGGCGGGAGTTTCCGCGGGTCTCCCGGCTGGTCCAGGAGGGGGCCGTGGTCTGGGCATGCAAAGGCGCGGGGGGGGTGGAGATGGTGGGCTGTGGGAAGGAAGGGGTTCGATAGGAGGGGTGGCCGAGGGGCCAAGGATGAACGGGACTGGACGAGAGCGGAAGAAATGAACCCAGGAGGATGTGGATCATCGGTGTCAGCATCGCGAGGGCGAGGGAGGTGGGGGAGGCAGAAGTTGGGGGCATGATGTGCACTAGGGCGTAGAGGATTGGAGGAGGGCAGGCATGTGGACGATGGGGGAACGAATCCGGCGCAGGAAAACGACGAGGAACGACGTGAATTGGCACATGGGGGGTGAGCAATGTGGATGAAGGGCACGATGGGGACCGGGGCGATCGGAGGGGCATGAGGAGGGTGGGGCCACAGCGAAAGGACATTTGGAAGAGGCGGGGGGTGGGGCATGAGTTCGAGGCGGGCGCCAGCTAACGATTAGCTGAACAGTGTTTTGCGTGTCCGTGCGCCCCCAGAACACAGTGACTTGTTGCAGAACTTCATGATCTGGGTCATCGTGCGCTTCGTGCTTCAAGGCCAAAGGCTCGAGTCCGCGACGCCCCTTGGCGTCGCGATGATGCCGCCCCGATTTGCCAGACCGCAGATGCACAGATACGCAGAATATGTGTTGCAACGTTTGTGTCATGACCCTCTCTATACTAACAGACCCACGTTGGAATCCAAAATCCAGCCCCCGACACCCAGATCTGGCGTTCACGGAACTATCTTGGGCGTTCACCAGGCGGTCTTGCCATGTCCGGCTCTTCCCTCGGGCGCGGCCACGGGAGGGCCTCCCTTGCAGGGGTGCCCGGTGCGAGGTGGTCACAGCAGGCACCTCAAATGAGCAATCGGCCTGCCTGCAGGTGCCCCACAGCAGTTTCTGGTCCCCCGATGGCCCCCCTGGACCCGCAAAAGCAATGGGGCACCCTGTGGTTTTCAAAGGTCGACGAAGAGTGTGCCCAAGATTTCTCATGACAAGGTGTCTGATCGTATGTGCTGGCTGTGTTCCGCCATGTCTTGGCTCCTCCCTGACCATCCGCGCCGCCAGTGCGAACACTGCCGAATCCGCGGTCACGACCACGCAGTGGCAGGCGAACCTCAGCGGGGAGGCCTGGGTGATGAGGAGCGGGGGCGCGTCGCCCTCCTCGCTCTCCGTGCTTCCCGCCCCTCCTCCCCACCTCCCCATTCCCCTTCCGCCCCCCCCCTTCCCCTTCCATCCACTTTCCCCTCCCCTTCCCCCTCGCCCTTGCATCCACTCTCCCTCTTCCTTCCCTTGCCTCCCCTCCCTGTGCACGTACACATTCCCTCCGGACTCGATCCGAAAGATGTCCAGCCCTCTCCGCGCATCGTGTTTCACACATTGTGGCATTGTGTTCCAAGGAATTATGCATAAGGAAAGGAGGAACAGGGAGGAAGAGGAGGAAAGTGATGAGGAAAAGGAGGAGGAGGAGGAGAAGGAGGAATACGATGAGGCAGAGGAGGAGGAGGAGGAGGAGGAGGAGGAGGAGGAGGAGGAGGAGGAGGAGGGAGACAATGTGCGAACAGGACCGCCACCGTGACGACTACTACGACCACGATCACCACCACCACGCCGACGACTCCAGAGATAGAGCTCGTCTGCGAGGACAATCCAGTAGGCCAGCAGCTTGCCACGCCCTGCAAGGGCGACTCGGGTGCCACACGCCGCTTCTCATCTTGTTTGTTCCCTTCAGCCTTCCCAAGCCTACGATCCATAGTGACCTTGGCCCTGTATCCCCGCACGCAGGAACAACTCTTCCGGGCCATGGCGAACAAAACATGGCTACCAAAGTTGCATGACGAATCACGTTGGCCATACGTGTCACGAATTTCGCAATGGTTGGAAAACCTACGTGTGCAGATTTTTGATGCGTGCTGTCCAGCGCCGCCTCACGATGATTGAATTGAGTACTCATCCAATATCCGAGATGTACGGGTTCTCGATGACATCAAGAAATTGCAGCATGTGCTATATGTGGGACCACCAGACAAGTTCCAGGCTTTGGTGGTGCAGAACGTGTTCAATAACCGATCAATATGAGGGCTCACCTAAACAACAGAGAGTTTTATGCCCCCCTACGTGACGTCTGTCACGAACACCAAGCGATGCAAGAATGGGACGCTATTTGCCTCCGTTTCTCACCTGTTCTGCGCGAGTATACAAGGTATCTGGTATCATAGAATATTACATTACATTTCCGGTAGCTGGCCGTCTCTGTGGCAAGGCATTCGGTCAGGTACGGCCCCCTTCTTTTACTCGAAGTTCCAGGGCACGTGCACGCTTGACAAGAGGGACGACATCGATTTGACGAATATGCAAAATCTCAAGAACTACCCAACGCATCCTATTCCTTTGAGACCAGTCATCAACTCCATTGGGGACTGGAGAAAGAGAGCCGCCTATTGGATTGGGCAGACGCTCCAACCCATACTTCCTCAACTGCCAGGTGTGACGTGCTTTTTCATACAGACACTCGTGACAGATGAAACTCTGAAGATGCATCCGGAGGCCTTCCTCGTGGGATTTGGCATCGCAGACTTCTTTCTGAACGTCGATATACACTACTGCAGCAGTGTCGTCATGTGGGCTGTTTCTGAATTTTTACCAGACCTCCCGCAGGAGCAAAAGCAAATGATGGACGTTATGCTAGCCCACGTTCTGGGTCACAACTACTTCAGTTTCGACGGGAACTTTTTCAGACGGTGCAAATGGGTAGCGATGGGCCTAGACTGCGCCCCACAGATCGCTACCTTGGCGGCGTTTTGCTGCGAGAGGTTCCGTGGCACGCTGCGCAACCAACAGATTGCAGAGCAAGTTTGGCAAAGATATTTGGAACGTAGCTTACAACACTTCCAGGACACCCTGAACACGCCATGCACCACACCTTTGGGCACATGCCGCTTCAACTACAAGTTCGTTGAATCACGCTGTACGGCAGTATTTCTTGACTTGAGGTTCCAAAAGTCCGGCAGGTGGTGCGATACTGGCATGTTGGCGGTATCGCTGTACGATAAGCCACAACATCCATGTGCTTACATACCGTCATCGAGTCACCATTCGTTGTCCCTGGCTCGGCCATGGTATCGGCAAGAGGCGAAAAGGCGCCTCACGCACAATTCGGATCCAACACGCGCCTCCCAAGATTTAGCTCGCTTCGGGACGATCAACATCTCGAGGGGGTATAGCGGGCAGTTCTGTAGACAAACCACAGAGGGTCTTTCGCCTGAGTTGCGCATGCGCCTGCTTGGTCTGCACGCCCGCGTGGACATTGAACGTGCCCGCGCAGGGGCTCAGGCAAGATGCCTCAATTTGGTGTTGCCTTTTCATCGTGAGGCGAACCGACGAATTAAGGAAGTAATGACGACCCCTGATGACACCATGCTGCACCTTGACACTCAAGGTTTCACGTTTGCTCTGGCAAAAGCCAGGCTCTCCTTGCACACATACGTGGGCGGTAGGTTGGGGTATGTGGTGGACCCGCTAAAGCTAAAGCTGAAACTCTCAGCCGCCGGAAATGTTACGACATATTTGGTGCAATTGCTTTAACAGCATGTCTCAACATCATATGTTGAACATTACATAGCCATTTTTCTCTAGCAATTATCTGAAGACGCTGAGGCTCAAAGGCCTAGCGACTGCGTACCGATTGCTGCAAGTACACATACAGTAGCAATCTAGTGCAGATAGATCTTCTCGCAGATTTGTATATTCGCTCGGGCTCCGAGCGCACTTGCAGACAGAGACCGAGGGCTGCAGTGAAGAAACAGGTCTCCTTCGTCTTCTTTGAAGGGTTATGCATAAGGAAAGGAGGAGCAGGGAGGAAGAGGAGGAAAGAGATGAGGCGAAGGAGGAGGAGAAGGAGGAATACGATGAGGCAGAGGCGGAGGAGGAGGAAGAGGAGGAGGAGGAGGAGGAGGGAGACAATGTGCGAACAGGACCGCCACCGTGACGACTACTACGACTACTACGACTACTACGACCACGATCACCACCACGACGACGACTCCGGAGATGGAGCTCGTCTGCGAGGACAGTCCAGTAGGCCAGCAGCTTGCCACGCCCTGCAAGGGCGACTCGGGTGCTACACGCCGCTTCTCATCTTGTTTGTTCCCTTCAGCCTTCCCAAGCCTACGATCCATAGTGACCTTGGCCCTGTATCCCCGCACGCCGGAACATCGTATTTTTAAGCCGCCGCTGCTGCCGATTCTTACCTGTCCCCTGTGTACCCTCCCCTCTCGCCATCACTCCCTCTTTCCAGAAGGGGACGCGGGTCGAAGCCCTGGGCCAGGGTTCAGCTGCGCTCTCAGCAGGACGCCGCCCCGCAGGTCGAATTTGAGCCTTGCGTTTGCATCCTGCCGATTATCTTCCAAGGATGGGCTCGACGAACATCACGGTCCTCCGTGTAATCGAGGGGCAGGACGAAGCGGGGGAGGGAGGGGCCAAGCCTGGGGAAGGGGGTACTGACTTTCCAGGAGGACTAACTAAATCTTACCATGATCTTTGAACTTCAATTCTAGTCTCTGCTGTAAGCTGTGCGTATAGGTTCACAGTTCTGGAGGACTGTTCAAGAGGCCTACGCCATTCCGCCGACCCCCAGATAATTTGGGAGAAGGATGAGGACAATGAAATGGACGGCGACCACGGTGGGAGTAAGAGGAAGGAGGAGGAGGAGGAGGAGGAGGAGGACGGGGACGACGGAAAAGTTTTGGATGTTTTGGGGGTACTGTCGAGGCTTTCCTCGTGTAGCCTCTTTGGGTCAAGTGAGTCCGTCGGGGCTCGTTGCTGGGGCGTCCTTCGTTCCAAGACGGTCGGTTCGGGTTCCTGCTGGAGGGTGCGGGAGGGAGCCCCTCACGATGTTTATAAGTGTACATTCTCGTTGCGTCCTCTTGAAGGCGGCTTTGGAGTGTCTTGGGGGCCTTTCGGGGGGACTCTATGGGACTCTGTGGCCTTCATTTGGGCCTCTAGGGCTCCTTTCTGGGGCGTCTGGGGGGCCTCCCGGGGCATGGTGGCGGCCTCGGGGGTCATCTTGGGCCACGGCTCGAATTGCCGGTTCGTGCTCCCCTTTTTGGGGGCTCGCTTGAGGCCCTCTTGGGGCTGCCTTGGCGGCCTCCTGTGCCGTCTTGGGGCTTTCGAGAGCCGTCTGTGGGCCCTCTTGGGGCAATCCTGGAAGCCTTGTGGGCCGTCACGGAGCGTCGGAAGCCCGAAACGGCGATAACGTTAAAGTTCGTCAAAACCCATGGAAGATCAGTACTTGTTGTCTCCTGTGGGGCATCTCGGATTACTCTTAGGGTGTCTTGGGGGCCTTTGGGGCCGTCTGGGAGACATTTTGGACGTCTTGGAGCGTTCTTGGACCATTTCGGGCGTCACTCATAGCTCATGCAGAGAATAAGGAGCTAACATCCCAGAAGGTGTCACCCTGAGAACGTGTTTGCCTGTGACATATGGGCTCCAGGGGCGCCCCCGAGCTATTCTCAAGCAGGCGCGGGCCTTGTCTGTGGAGGTGGGGCCCTCGCCTTCTAAGAAGCAGCCTCCTTCTAAGAATCCTTCCCCCTCCCCCTGGCCTCCTCTGCGCGCCGCCAAGGCATGCACATCATGAGCACGTGCGGAGGCAAGCCGTCAAACCGAATCCAGGAGCGACTTCACGAACGGACGTTCGGACAACGACGACGACGACGACGACGACGACGACGACGACGACGTGCGATAGGTGCGTGTCGTGTCGACGCGGCGGTGACCACAGCCCGGGCACTTCGAGGTTGAACGCCGCCAGTGGCCCAGCGTCGGATGCTATCGAGAGGTCCTGAGCGGTCGACAAGTCGCGGTCGTGCAGCCTTGACTCTTCTCCTCCTCCTCTTCCTCCTCCTCGTTCTCCTCCTCCTCCCTCCTCCTCCTCCTCCTCCTCCTCCTCCTCCTCCTTCTTTCTCCTCCCTCCTCCTTCTTTCTCCTCACTCCTCCTCCTCCTCCTCCTCCTCCTCCTCCTCCTCCTGAACGGTCCACGTGGTGTCAGAAACCACCGCGCATGTCGTCACGACACGGACCCGCCGTAGTTATGCAGGACGGCTCCCCGCTGTCGTCTCCCCCGGCCGTGGCTGCGCGGAGCTCCGCCGACCCGCGTGCGGGCCGAGGCTGGGTGTCGTCAACGGGGCTCTCTTGCAACTTCTACAAGTGGGGCCGCTACTGCACCGAGTCCGGGGGCTACGGCCTGAACTGGTCCTCGCTGGGCTGCACCAAGAATGCCAGAGACCGGGAGGAGAACGAGAGGGAGATGAGGATTGACAGTGGGTAGATTGGTATTGGTGCACCTTATCGGTCTAGACTTCCCCATTTCTATATATTCAGGCATCATACAAGCGTATACATACATGCATGCATGCATGTCTGTGCCTACGTATGTGCATATATATATATAGGTATATATGTTTGCATACATGGTTGTCTTTCCGTCGTCCTCTTCATCTTCGTCATTTGCTTGCTCATCTTCTTCATCGACGTTTTGTTGGCGTTGTCTCCATCGCGATTAGTTCGGAAGGACTGTTTATCGGAAGTTGACGGTCTGCGTTCTCTGCTTGATCATGGCAGGGCGAAGGGATCGACGATCTAGGTTCCAATCGGAATCCAATTATAATCAGCTCAATCTAGGATCTGCTCAACTCAAGTAAATTATCCAAATAGGTTTGCCCTATAGGAGTTCTAACTCAAACCCAACTAATTGGTCCGTTGCCCCACCTAATTCTTATGCCCCCCCTAATTCCTATGGCTATGCCTATGCCTATGCCTCCCCCCGAACTCCAATGGCACCCCCCTTTATTTCCAATGGGACCCCCCAGCTATTTCCAATGGCGGGTCCTATGGATTCCTATGGATTCCTATGAGTCGCTCCTCGGCACCTCGAACATTAGCAGGGGTCAGGGTGCAAGAAGGGCGAGCCAGGATTGGCCAGTGGTGAGGCATGTTTTTGGAAGGGGAGGAAAGGGGT